GCCTTCCCTCTAGTCTTACACTGCTAAATTAGGGACGGCTAGCGCAGATAGCCCTCGTGTAGCTTTGCGCGAAATTCAAAAACAAACAAACAATCTCAACGATTTGTAAATGGTCTTACTAGAGTTACTTGAACATTCTCAACGATTGGTAAATGGTCTTACCAGCGCTACTTGAACATTCACAAGAATTAGTACATTTTGAACACTGGCAAATACATCTAAATGGTCTGACATGATTTATTTGAACACTGATCTAACGCTGAAAGTTGAGGTTCAATTAATGCATTAAGAACATCGTAGATAGCAGCCCGTTGTGTAGTTTTGCGCTTATCAACAAACTGTAATAAATAATCAGATGCTGATATAATTTTAGTCATATTTCTCTAACGGGTTATACTTGGCAATTATTTTCTGCAGAAACGATAACCTTTTGAAATTTCAACTCATAAAATTTCCCTTGCTGAATTGTTAAGAACTCTAAATAATTTTAAATGTATTAAATTTCAGTTAGGTCAGCTGATAAATAATCTTCGTCAACACCACGAAACAATTGTTTTCTTCGCTCACCAATCACGTCCTTGAAATACGTGTCGTCATTCTCATCTTGTATGACGTCGTGTGCATGCTATAGACCGGCATTTCGAAAGCCGTGTGACTTTTAATAATTATTATTCGCCTACTGTAGGCAAACAAGAATTGTTTTGTATAAAAATAGCAGTATGGCAGATAACCTCTGTAAGTCAAGACTTCAACATTTTAAAAATAAAGGAAAAGACCAAGATGTGAGTATGGGTTTAAATTAACCAAAAAAGTATGGCCGATGGCGCAGTAACCTTTGTTGGTCGTACAATGTGATGCTAATAACTGTGATGAAGCTTGTCTGCTAAGCCTAACTTTGTAAAGTAGTATGATGAAACTAGGAAATATTGATAAAATATTTTGTAATTTGTGTGATATCAGTGTATTCATAAGTATATTTAGTTAATTTTGAACAAAATCCATTTTTGAATCATAAAATATGAAAAGTACGAAATACAACTTTAAAATTTTATTAAGCCTAACTGCGAAGCATCTTACCATTACGGCATTATAATGGCATTACTAAAGCATTTACGACGATTATAATATAATATATGTAATTAATATTTGTAAGGCTGAAAAGATAAAATGTCACGCATGACAATGTTTTTAGTATATTTACATTGGTCATCATCGTAGTCCTTGGACGTGAAGTTTAACCTAGTTTTAAATTTCAGTATATATGATGTCGGTTATCACTAGTCCCTCATAAACTCGTGTACTTGATTTGGTATTAAATTTCTTATATAAATAAAAATTTTCAAATTGTTTTAATCTGTGCGAGTTTTAAGACTGTTTCAAAGTAAGTGTTATATTGGAAGGGAAGAGAAATGATGTATTTTATTCCCCAATGATTTATGAAAATGTGGAATGCACATTTGAAACCACGCTGTTGACAGTGTTGTCATGCCTTGGCATTTATCTTCACTGTTAACATAGATGACCACTGTAAGTCTAAGAGAGAAATTGGGCAGGATTATCTCTGCAACTGAAGGTGACGGAGGTTATGTTTTCACTTCTGTGAGTTTGTGTGTGTTTGTCATCAAGATTTCTTGAAAATGGCCAAATGGATTTGGACCCAAGTTAGTAGACATTTGGACTATGACCGAGCTCAGAAGTGATTTGTTTTTGGAGGATCAGGGCATTTAAAATATAAAAAAAATCCCTATCTATTAACATGGAGACTGATTTTTCACACTATTTTTGCACTATAACTCAGTCAAAAATGATTGGATTTTGATGAAACTTGGTGGACATACATAGAATATTATTCCTCATTGTTCTTTTAAAAAATGGACCATGTCTGTTGATAAGAATGGACACACACATATTTTTTATTTTTTGAGAGACTAATATGATCAACACTGTGTGGTGGAGGTGTACACTATACTGAATGCCCCTTTAATTTTAATACTGATATCAACAATTAATGACACTCCTTGTTAACGAACTTAAGTCTTGAAGTCTCTCTGAACAGTTGTGCATATACTGTTGGTATACAGTAGTTAGAGATGCTAAGAACTTATGCAAATTGTTTTTTACTAATTCATACATCTAGTAACAACATTGTCAAATGAAATGTATGGCAATATGATACATTATATTAATTGCACTTAAAGTATTTGTGTGAAATACTTTTTACAATTTGTAATATAACAGAGGAAATATTTTTATATGAACGTTATGTTTCAGTATAGTAAATGATAAGTATTTAATAATGCTTACATATTATATGTTACTATTTCAATTAAAAATAATAATTTAACTATTTCAACAGTTTTTAACTTTAAAATACATTAGTTTGCATTTTTAAAATGTATATTTAGTGTAATTTGAAAAGAAAAATTAGATGTTCCAACTTTCATTTCTGTGCAGCTTCTTGGAATCTCACCTGTAATACCATTAAGATTTTTTATAATTTTTTTTGCCCATCTGAAAGCACAGATTTATATTTGCTAAGAAGTAGTCATCCCTTGAGAACATAACAATTGATGTCTTATTTCGTACTTGATTTTCATTCTCTATTAGTGGCTTTCTAACCAAAGTACAAACTTTTCTTTATGACATCAGGTAAGGTTAGTTAGATTTAGTATGGTAGGGGACAGCAAAAAATTCCAGTGTCTTAAATATATATATATATTTATATTGCATATTACTGTTAAGGCTATCATATTAAAACAATCGACACAATTAAAAAAAAATCTTATTGTCAGCAAAAATATTGTTACCTAGCCAAAGTAATGGAAATACCATTTTGAAAGGTGAAGTTCTAGTTTTCCAATAAATTTTTGGCAGCCCCCCATAAAGGTGACTATTGTAATAAGCAAAATACAGTATTAAAATGTAATGTTAATGAATATCAGTAAGTTCTAATTGGTTGAATATATGAAAAGTGAAACTTTCTGATCAACAATTAAAAAAAAAAGTTGAAATTCTAAGATTAAGGGAAGTATTTTTTATGTACAACAAAATTTTGTAAAGTTCAAAACATGAAAAATTATAGAAAGACTATATGAAACTGCATGAAATTTTTAAAGCCAAAAACTAGGCACTATTCAGCAAAATTATACTACGTTTCTTGCAATTTGGTCAGGTAGTTGCACTGTGATAGGGAAACAAAATTAATTTATATCACTTACACCCTTCTGGTCTGGAAAGGGTTTCTATCACAAACTTAGAAATACCAATGCCCAAACAATCATCTAAATACTTAAGATGATTAATGAAACAAACCCTGGGAAAGTAAACTTGTCACCTTCTCTTAGTCAGAAAAATGCCCATTGATTATAATTTTTGCTCTTTTTACCTCTTACCTTACTATTCATAATCAGTTTCTTTGTTAAAGGCTTTCTAAAAATCAATGATGGTTCTTTCATCTAATCTCTAATAAGTTTAAACTGTTGAATCAAGTCATAAGTAATTATTTTACACTACGAGTAAAAATAATCAGAGTTTTCAAAATGCTGCTTATAGCTAAATTTCTAAAATCCAGGTGTTTCCTACATTTCCTTGTCTTTTCAGTAGTGAGGGTACATTAATTACATTATATCAAAGCCTTATATAAGTTTACAAGAACTTTCTTACCTTTACTTTTTAAATTCTTTTAACTCTTTTCAGCACGGGCTTGGTCCCTGGGACTGACCTTGTAACCATTTTGTACTTGTTATAGTTAATGAAATTTGGCAGATTATCAGTAAACATTACAATGCTTTCTTATGCAAAATATCATTTTTTATATTAAGTCTTAAGGTTTGTAAAGCAATGTTTTTCTCATGCTTTTTTTTTTCTTTTTGTATG